ACACTCAGTGGAGATATTGTTGAACACTCTCCGCTGTCTGCTTCTTCAGCCTGGTTTTCTATCATGTCACCGTCAGGGTCCATCATATCCTATACAAACTTTTCTTTATCTGTTCATCGTACAACAAAAGACAGGAGCGTACTTCGTGAGGTTTGGCATTGACGACTACGGTGTTACATATAGCCATAGTGAGAAAAAAAAGGTAAATGGGACTATCGATGTCAGCTTCTCGAACTGCACGGCTCAACAACGCCTCTAAGCCACGATCCTTTGATGGTCGCGGTCTACCCAAACGATCAGCCGGCTGATCGATGGCCGCTGCTACAGAATGTCCTCCGAAATCTTTTCCACGAAGGGAACATCGTCGAAAAACCATCTAAAGGTTAACAATTATTCTAAACCAACGAATATTTCCTGCTGAAAGCTCCCATTTTACCTGATTCTCCGTAAGCGTGCCTGTCTTATCCGACATTATATACTGTACTTGGCCCAGTTCCTCAGGAATATTCAGAGCTCTGAATTGTAGAAAACTTCAAATATCTTGGAGATCAACTCGCAGGGACTACAGACCTGCATTGCACCCGCTTGTCAATTTTCTCATAGTACATATTCATGTCTTGAGAAATTAGCCATACTTGTCCAACTTTAATAAATTCTATAGAAACATAGAGTGAGATCGGGATCAAAACCTAAAATGAAAACTATATCAGAAAAAATAATCAAAGCTGTCTCAGACAAATATGAACGGGCGCAGGATTAAAATGTGAGATTATAAGGACTCGATTCCACATTTGACTCAAATTTTCGACAATTCGCTTTCGCAAAATTGTTCTTTTCGCATAGTTTTCATCCATCAAAAGTAATACTCTCTCCATTCTAAGTATGTATGGAAAGTTAAAGCCTAATGTATAATTTTCATGGATTTAGCTAATAAAGTCTTTACTGACGGAGAAGATTTTCAAATTACTTCATAGAAGAAAAAGAAAATTTCTTCATTCTAAAAATAGTTCTATATTCCATAAGGAGCATTATGCAGATCGCATGAACAGTCAGCTGTCAGCTCAAAAAAACTCAACCTATCAAACTTGTGGATCAAAATCTCCTAGTGCTTACTCAATGG